CGTATATTGCAGTCAATGATGTCGACACCCAATTGGAGACAACGGCCTGAGTGTCGACAAGTGTTGGCCACACATAATGAGTGGTCAATCAATGAGTCTATTGTCAGTAATAATACTGAACTTAATTCCGTATTAAATACACTTCACTCAAAAGATAATTCAATTTTCTACGAGATTTTAAAGTGTAAACTGAATAATACAGATGTGTCTAAAGCGTGTGCCTCTACAACAAGTCGGCGGCCAATTGTCGGATATGTTTTTTGGACATTATATTTTATTTTAGTATTTGGTATGATTGGTTTTATTATTATTGCGATATGTAATATTAATGGGCCTATTTTATCAACATCCGCTCCATATTACACATGAATATACTGTATATGGTATGTAATGAATAACATTTTCAAATTATAAAATCATATAAACAGGCAACTAGTTGTTTGGATTTGAAATTTAATTTTAGTTTTATTATTATCAATGTGTGAGTAATATTTAAATTGGTTTTTATGTTGTGTGTATTTTTATTTCAATACTTTCCTGTGTTTGAATCCAAGGAATCGCTATTTAAGACATGCATAGTCTGTATGTATGAAACACTGCAACAAATGATGGCAATTGTGTGGAGACAACGGCCTGAGTGTCGGCAAGTGTTGGCCAAATAGGATAAATGGTCTATCCATAAGACTGTTATACTTAATGATAAACAATGATCACAAATCAATGCTATATGTTAACCACAATTTGGGTGATGCTTAAAGAATAGATTAACATTGTCAATACAATTAACACTAATCCCATATATTCAGAATAAAATAATAATTACTATATTTATCATATAAATAACTCTTAAAAAACAACATAAATTTTTTACAAAGTTTTTTAAATTTAATTTTCAAAACATTATAATTTTATTTTCATCAATATCAAAATAGAAATTTATTTCACAAGCATCACGTTTACATAAATTGCTAATTAATGTATTAAATTATTAATAAATACAATTATAAAGCAATAAATAGGCATCATATAATTAATTTATACAATGGTGCATGATGAAGTATAGTTGACATTATGGACATACAGGATAATAGCCATAGCCAACTGACCCAATTCCGCAATTGCCTGGTGTAGTACAATTCAAGTTTGCACATTCTCTCTTGAATTCATCCGACAATGGAGATAGTGGTATGTCCCACAGCACACCATGCACTATTGATACCACTACCAACACGCTCATCATTATCACCATCATAGTTTTCATGTTTGTGTTTTAATTACTTTTGTTTGTGTTTTTTAAAGACTTGAAATTGTGCTAAAAAATGGTTGAATGTTAATTAAATTGCTCACATATGGTGTGGTTTTTTAACAATGTAAGTGATATGGTTAGTAAAAATACCTTAACTTAATTAAATATCAACTTTAAAATTTAACTTTTCTCCTGTATTAATGTATACTTCCATAACCACGCAGGGCGGGTAAAACTGGGTAAACGAGGGTATTAGAGGGTAACATACTTTATGTACTATTTTAAATCATATTTATGAGTTCAAATATGATGTAAGTAAATAATGAGAGAGGTTGATTGTTTATATCTAGTGAATTTAGTTGATTTAATTAAGATGTGCACAAATGTTGTTTAAAACGTAAAGGCTTTTTTGGAAGCTTGCGTTTTCTTATCTACTTCTATTTAAAAATATAGAGATTTATATTAAAATTTTTATAAAAATATAAATTACCACTGAATCAAATGTATAATCTGTTGTATTTTCACCATTTGTTTCACACTTCCAGATTTGTGTCAATGTGTTAGTAATTTATTTAACATTTTTATAATTACTTATAAGTTATAACGTATTAAAAGTTTTGAATATTAAGAATTCATTATTATTATTAATTTTAACTAACAGATGGTTCTGTGAAATATTTGTATAACTATTATCACAATCGATAAGTAAATGTTGGACTTTGTTCTCATCTAAAAATATTTTACTTTTAATTGAGTTATAAATCTTGTTATAATAAAAATAAATAAATATTTTTATCCACTATATACATTAAAATCAGGTAAAATTATATTTAAAAAAATAAAATATAATATGTGTACAAAATAGTTGCTAATAATAGGAAACACACCTAGGTAGTCTAGACTTACAAGACCCTTGTCAGGGTATGTTAAGAGGGTAGGGGTAAAAGGAATATAGCATTTCTTTATTGCATATACTGTTTTGTTATAAAAATAATTTATTAAATATTTTTATTAATATTAAATTTCGTTATTTCAAATAAGTTAAATAAAAGTAAATCAATTCATTATGTTTTGAAATATATAAATTATATGATATAATTGTTGATAAATGTTTGCATTATTAAAGTTGTTATCTTATATTATATGAAATTCTTTTGTTTTTATCAGTGCATTCAAAATGTTGTATTAAACCTGTTATTAATACAATAAATATAATCTATTTTATTACTATAGACCGAAAAATAATGCGTTTTTGATGCGTTAGTCACTGAAAAACTTAAATTTATATACAACTAATGTTTGATCCATTCCTTTGAACACAGCTTTAATATTTGTAATAATGAGTTATAAATAATTTTTTCTGTGCAAATGCATCAAAAACGCATTATTTTTCGGTCTATATTTATTACTAAAGATATTGAAATATAAAACTGTTTTTGAACTGTTATTCAAACATAAATGTGTAATTGTTATAATTGTAAATTTTATAATTTTAATAATTTATTTAATTATAGTTTAGAAATATATACTGAAAATGTGTGAATTATTAAAAAGGTTGAAACTGTTTAATCTAATACCGACAACTATTAGTGAAAATATTGCAAAAATACATGTGTTTAAAGAAATTGATAATAAAGATAATGTATTATTTGTTACAACCGATGATATTGTCTATGGTTTGGGTAATAACAGGAATGGATGTTTGGGTTTTGGACACAACAGACCAATACTATCACCAGAACTGATCCCACAATTATGTCATCAAAACATACAATACTTTGTCAATGGATGTGATTTTGTGTTAGCAGTGAATGACATGAATATTATGTACGGTTTTGGTAATAATAGACTTGGACAATTGGCCCAGGGTGAAATCACTGTTAAGGGTTGTTTGAAGCCACAAATAATAACGTATTTTATTAATAAAAATATTGAAAACATTAATTGTGGGGCTGATCACACACTGGCCCTCACAAGTGATGGTCGTGTATATGCCTGGGGTAGCAATAGTGAGGGTCAAATTGGAAGTGAAATTAATAGTAAATATATTTGTACGCCATTTGAAATACAGTTCAGTAATAATTATAAAATACAATCCATTTATTGTTATAATGACTGTTCGTTTGCCATCACAACCGATGGACATGTCTTCAGTTGGGGTCAAAATGGAAATTATTTATTGGGACATAATATAACAGATTTAAGAAAATTGAAACCATGTTTGATATCAAACTTAATTAATGTGAAAACAATAAGTTGTAGTTATTTTGGGACATATTTTTTGACAACAAATGGTTTATATTTTTGTGGAACATATTATGAAAACAATAGAAAAATTATTGAAAAAATTCCTAAACAAATACTATCTGAACAAAAATTTAAAAATATGCAACAAATCAATTCATGGATTTCTTATAGATACAATAATGAATTAATTTTTGTTATTATTAATGATAAAATATTTAAAATTTCAAATGAACTTAAAATAATTGAAACAAATTATAATAATTATACCGACTTTTACGCAAATGTATACAAAATAACTTATAATACAATTAAATTGAAAGAAATGGATAATTTAAAATTACCTATACATCAAAACGACAACACATATTATAATACTATTAATGAAAATTCAAGTAATGGTAATTTTAAAACAAATTTTTAAAAAATTTCAATTGAAAAAAAGTTGCATATAGTTCAATTCAAATAATTTTTATAATATTATAAATTAAAATTAATATCTAGATAAAAAACCAATTGCTTCTAAAATTATTATCGAACACTCACAACAATCGACATCTGTTTCTCATCAAGGTAATTATTTTAAACAATTATTATACAATCATTATATATTATAACCGATACTATATTTCAATTTTAAGATAATGAAAAAACAATATTATCTAATCGGCCAATAATGTTATGCGCCTCAAGAATTTAAATAACTCTTAAATGAAAAGAGCTAGATCTATTCTGTAAAAAGTAAAATAGAGTTCCATATGTCTAGTTTTTTGTAGCAAAAAATTATTGAGATCACGTGATTAGAACCCAAAAATTTTTGGGTCAAATCGATTTGCCATGTTTTTTGCCCACCTCGAAGGGGGCTAGGAAGGGGGCGAATATGCTCATCTTTAGACTATAATAGCAAAGTTTGACTTAAATTCATTCAGCCATTTACGAGAAATTGTTAATTTTATTAACATTAGGTCTATGGGGAAAAATGGTTTTGAAGTCGACTTTTTATAACAACGAAAATGTAGTACAAAAAGGTCAAAATTGGGCTATTTTTGTCCAAATATTGTGTCAAATTTCTTGAATATTTTGTTCGCTACGAATAAATATTCACTTGAATTTTATGAAACTTTGCTATCATAGTCTTTGACATCTCCTCTATAGATTAACATACCCGCCCCCTTCCTAGCCCCCTTCGAGGTGGGCAAAAAACATGGCAAATCGATTTGACCCAAAAATTTTTGGGTTCTAATCACGTGATCTCAATAATATTTTGCTACAAAAAACTAGACATATGGAACTCTATTTTACTTTTTACAGAATAGATCTAGCTCATTTCGTTTAAGAGTTATTTCAATTCTTGAGGCGCCTAACATTATTGGCCGATTAGATAATAGTGATAAACTGAATATCACTAATAATTCATGGTATAAAATGCAATTTACTCAGATGAAAATAATTGGTTCGGGTGAGTTTGGGACAGTATATAAAGTAAAGCATAAACTTGATGATAAGATATATGCTGTTAAAATAATACTTTTTAAAGGTAATGCTTTTAGTATTAAAGTTGACATTTATTATAATTTCAATTTAACAATATTTTATAGAATTTAGTGAAGCAGAAAAAACTCGAATTCTTAATGAAGTCCATATACTGTCAAAATGTAACTCACATTTTGTGGTCAAGTATTACCACTCGTGTATTGAATCCATTGGTATATATATTCAAATGGAGTTTTGTCAACAAAGCCTTCGGGATGTACTCAATGACAAAGACAAGCTTTTTAATAGACAACCCGCACAACCCTTTAATATCTACGAATATTTTCTATCATGTGAAATTTTTCGGGAACTCTTGCAATGTCTTGAATACATTCACACACAGAACCCACCGATCATTCACCGGGATATAAAACCGGCCAATATTTTAATTATGCAAAACACTAGTAATAATACGTTCATAAAATTTGGTGACTTTGGTTTGGCCACTGAATATAATCGGGCTGGTATGAGTCTTTCACAACCGGGCACTCCTGGTAACATGGCACCTGAAAGGCGCGCAAATGGGAAGTATGATTTTAAAGCTGATATTCACGAACTCGGACTTGTTGCATTGAAATTGTTTGAAATAACCACAATGTAAATATTGCTATAAATATAATATTACAAAGTTTATATAAATATATCTGATATACAATAAAATTCAATTGCTATTAACTTAGGAGCAAATGATTTTTACTCACGGTCAAACCATTTTTACATCAGTGAGTGTTGTATTGCAAGCACTGCGACAACAATGAATTGACTGAATGTAAAAATGATTTGACCGTGAGTAAAAACATTTGCTCCTAAGTTAATAGCAATTGAATTTTACTGTATAAAATTGCGGTCAATTAATTAATTCACTCGTATATTTCAAATGCTTTTAGACTATAACTATGTGAACAAATTAATTGACCGCCCACTTATTATAGTTACAGTTAATGAAATATTGAGCTATATAAAATATATTAAATTGAAAAATATTTGTAGTGAATCAAAAACATACAAATCAACCGCATTTTGTGCTCAATTAAATTGTGTTGAAAAATTAGTATATTTAATGATTAACGCAAAACCAGTAAAAAGGCCCACAAGTACTGAAATTTTACAAAAGTATAACGACTGGGCTATCGATAAACAAATCATCACAAATTATAACGAATTCCACAAAATATTAAATACGCTTAAATCCAATGAAAACTCATTTTTCTATGAGTTTATGGCAAATAAAACGGACATCAATTCAACGGATGGTATATATTATAAAAAATTCACTGAGATATCAACCATAGGTTTGGGTGGTTTTGGGACTGTATTTAAAGTGAAGCATAGATTGGATGATAAGATATTTGCCGTTAAAAGAGTGCAATTTAAGGGTAAATTATAACTAAATTTTATTTTGAATAATAAATAAAATTTATAAACATTTTTCGCAGATTTTAATGAAGAAGATAAGCAAAAAGTCCTAAAAGAAGCGAAAATGTTGTCAAAACTAGACTCAAATTTTGTGGTAAAATTTTATTACTCGTGGATTGAATCAAATTATTTATACATACAAATGGAGTATTGCTCTCAAAATCTTAAACAAATCATTGATGAAAAAGCCATTGTCTTCGAGAGACAACCGGAAGACCCGATGAATATATTTGAATATTTTATTTGCTGTGAAATATTCAAAGAGGTATTAGAATGCGTCCAATATATACACGAATCCAATCCTCCTGTAATTCATCGGGATCTAAATCCCAGAGATATACTCATTACCATCAATAATAATAACAATCGCTTTATAAAATTGGGTGACTTTGGTTTGGCCACCGATCACGACATGCCATCCATGAGCCACACCGGGAATGTCGGGAGACCTGGATATATGGCACCTGAAATACATTTCATTTCCAATTATACCACTAAAGTTGACATCTATAGCCTGGCACTCATTGCACACCATTTATTTGATTTATTCAAAATGTATGTTATTTTATAAAGTAGTTTATATGCAATTAATTAATATTTAAATCCATATTTGTATTCATTACTAAGAGAACATCAAATGGAAAAATACAATATAACCATGTTATCAACAAATATCAAGAAATTGTATGAAATAATTGAACAAATGCTGGAACCAATACCAGGCAAACGACCCACCAGTGCTCAAATACTTCAATGCTTTAACCAGTGGTATATTGATAAGTCGTTAATCACTGGCGATAACACATATAATGATGTATTAAACAATCTTAAATCTAATGACAACTCATTTTTCTATGACTTTCTAATTTGTAAATTAAAAATTTAAAATGTGTGCACCGTTTCTGCTCTCAAATATTAGATGTAAATACATTAGATGAAGATTAAAACACACACTATTTTACATGCTATAAGAATGTATTAGTTAACTTTATATTGATTAAGAATCCTTATATAAGCTTAGACACAAACACACATTTGCTTTCTTAAGTTTAAGTATTGATGAAAAATATTATTCATTAAATTTTGTATTCATTTCAATTGATTTTGAATTAAATGTATTGTGATTTAAAATTAATTCGATTAAAAAATTAATTAATTAAATAAATTATATTTTTATTTAAAATAATATACAGTTTAACAGATATTACAAAGTTATAATAGAGATAGATTTGCTAAAGTTATTGTTAACTATAGTTAATATTGATAGTTATTATCATAATAACAATAGGAATTTATGATAACGTCATAAGTTATACTCCATTTTATTTTGTAGTTTATTATTATAGTTTATAATACCAATTAAATATCAATAAATAAACAAACAAACAAAATCACTATGAACCAAGGTAATAAACAAAAATTGTAACATGGTCAATCGCTAATTATCTGACACAAATCTATTATAAGATATAATCTCCGGCAAGACCAATACAACTCCGGCAAACACCTCTACCGATTGGGTGGACGACTTTTACAGCAGAATGCGTTGCGAGCGGACACGACTTGGCACATACCACGTGCCCGGACATGATTGGCCCAACGCAAACGTAACACCCGGCGATTTGGCCAGCGCTGGATTTTTCTACACATTAACTGATGATATGGTTGAGTGCGCTTTTTGTGGGCTGGGTATCAATGAGTGGGTGCCCGGAGACCGTCCATTAGATCAACACCGAATTCACTCGCCACTGTGTCCATTCATTACTGGAAATGACATGAGCAATTTACCCATATCAAACGACCATGATGGTTTTATAATACCTCACCCGAGCCTTACGCCCGATATTCCCGACGATATTAACTCTAATTTTGGGTTTAATTCAGCTCGGGTCAATATTCCCGGTTTGGGGGTGGCGGTTAACCAACACATTCCTGGTTCGGGAACGTCGGGTAAACGCCACGTTCCCGGTGCCGGCCAACTCGATTACACAGATATTGATGTGCGAATGAAATCATATGTTTGTAACGGTTGGGACCTATCGATACCCGTCCCCATTGATAGGTTATCAGCCGCTGGATTTTATTACTTGGGACGCTCTGATTGGGTGAAATGTTTTTGTTGTGGAGGCAAAGCGCGTGATTGGTCCCCCGGCGATAACCCCTGGGTTGAACATGAGAAAATGTACCCAGATTGTCAGTTTGTTTTAGATAATAAATGCATTATGAATGCGCAAGCTCGTGTTAACTCAAATGATCATAATGGAGATGATAAATTAAACAACAATTTCTGTGATTATTATAAAACCCAATTCATTGAGATGTCAGCCATAGGTTCGGGTGGTTTTGGGACTGTATTTAAAGTAAGTCATCGTTTGGATCAACAGATATATGCGGTGAAAATACTAGAATTTAAAGGTAAAACATACATTATATTAATTGATAGCAAGTTAAACTAATTTGGGAAGGTGTGGCAGCTAAAGCATAGATTGGATGATAAGATATATGCCGTTAAAAGAGTGCAATTTGAAGGTAAATGTCTATTTAATTTCAATAAATGTATCTAGATATATTTTCAACTAAATTATTATTTTCATAGATTTTAGTGAAGACAAGAAACAAACAATTCTCAAAGAAGTGAAATGTTTAGCAAAACTTGACTCAGAATATGTGGTAAAGTATTATCACTCATGGCTTGAGTCCAATCATCTCTTCATTCAAATGGAGTTTTGTTCACAAAGTCTTAAATCTGTTCTCAAAGACAAACCCAATGTCTTCGGCCGACAACCGAACGAAGCAATGAATATACTGTAATTGAATATTTCATTAGTTGTGAAATATTCAAAGAGCTCTTAGAATGTGTTGAATACCTCCACGAATCCAATCCTCCACTCATTCATCGGGATCTCAAACCCGACAATATATTAATTAAACACAACGTTAGAAATAATCGTTTTGTAAAACTATGTGACTTTGGTTTAGCCACAGATCACATGATATCATCCATGAGCCTCACGGCAGGGGTGGGGACTTCACAATACATGGCTATTGAAACATATCAGCGCCGGTACACAACAAAATCAGACATTTATAGTCTGGGAGTTATTGCACAACATTTGTTTGATTTATTCAATATGTAAGTAATTTATACTGTAATTATAAACATTTGCTAATTGTTTGTGATTTCATAGCGAAAATCCGTTACAAAAATATAATTTTACGCTATTTTCGGGTAAATTTGACAAATTATATGCAAGTATTCGGTCAATGGCTGAGTCGATGCCCGACAACCGGCCAACTGGTCGTCGAGTATTACAAGATTATACTCATTGGTCTATTCATAAGGACGTAATAACTAATGAAAAGAATTTTAATGAATCTTTAAATACACTGAAAAGTTTCCACAATACATATTTCTATCAATTTATATCATATAAAACTAATTATTAATTAGTATAATGATTTATTAAAAATTGTATTAACAATAATGTATTATCATATTTTTTATAGACAAGGAATTGTTTTGTAGAAAAATTGTTAATATTTATAACATTATAAGAATAGTGTAATATAAAAGAATATAAACTATTTCTCGTTTCCATTGACTTTCACTGATTATATTTATTATATGATTTGTTATCATATAATAGTCGTATTAACGACACAAATATCTTATATGTTAAGCACATTTTGTTAGTATTAGTTTAATATTATGGTCTATTTATACAAAACAAAATGTTAAATAATAAACAGTTAACTCTAAATTCAATTTTTCAAGTTAAATTTATACGATAAATTATTCGTATTTAATAATTTAAATAATCAAAATTAATACAAATAATTAATATTAAATAATTATTTGTGAAAACTAATTGTGAATAAACTCTTTAATAAAGTATACACAAAATGGCGAGTAATCCAAATAAAAGTTATTATGAAGCCCAATTTAAAGTGGCAGAAATTATTGGTTCGGGTGCTTATTCCACTGTATATAAAGTAAGTCATCGTTTGGATCAACAGATATATGCGGTGAAAATACTAGAATTTAAAGGTAAAACATACATTATATTAATTGATAGCAAGTTAAACTAATTTGGGAAGGTGTGGCAGCGCGGAATAAGAAACCACATGTTGCTAATGAATTGTGATTATATTAAACATAAAATATTTTTAGATTTTAATGACAAATGGGGAAAACGTATTTTAAAAGAGGTTGAAATGTTGGCAAAATTGGATTTTGAATATGTGGTCAGATATTACAACTCATGGATTGAAATGGAAAATCTATACATCCATATGGAGTACTGTTCGCAAACACTAGGGTTTGTGTTCTGGGATAAACGAGAAGTATTTGATAGAAAACCAAACGAACCGATGAATATCTACGAGTATTTTTTTTGTTGCGAAATATTTCGGGAACTTTTAGGATGCGTTCAATACCTCCACGAATTGAAACCTCCTATTATTCATCGTGATATAAACCCTGATAATATATTAATATTATACAATCAAAAAAACAATCGATTTTTAAAATTGGGTGATTTTACCTTGGCCACATATCACGAACATCAATCCCAGAGCCACACTATAGATGTCGGAGCATTACGATACGTGGCACACGAAGTAGCACATAGTAGAAAATACAATATGAAAGCAGATATTTATAGTGTTGGATTAATTGGACTTGATTTATTTGACATACTTGATGGGTATTAATATAATTAATATTAGATTGACCATATGTTCAAAAGTATAAATTGGATTTTCTAAACTTATTAAGGAGTTAATTGTAACCAATTTATTTAAATGTATTTTTATAATTATTTGTATGAATTTAAAGTTTCAAACATTATTTTTATCCAAATTACAGGATTGTAATATTATTTAAATCATCTGGTCATTCTAAAAATTTTTAGAACAAAATGAATTTGACAATTTTTAAAATACATTTACAGTGTATGCATCAAACATATCAACAAGTTAACGTTATATGTTAAGAAATTCAGACAATTATACGATATTCTTTTATCAATGTTTGAAAAGCCACCAAATGACCGGCCGACAAGTGGTGATGTACTCGAAAAATACAACAACTGGTCTATTGATAGACATATCATTATGGAAAATAACACCGAATACAATTATGAACTTAATAGATTAAAATCTTATAATAATTCATTTTTCTATGATATTTTGTTGTGCAAAACAAGTACCAACATGTTAATGAAAAATGATCAGAATTTTACGAATAACGACATTCTTTATAAAAGCCAATTTATTGAGATTAAAACAATCGGTTCGGGATATTTTGGAACAGTATGTCAAGTAAAGCATGGATTAGACAGCAGGATATATGCGGTTAAAAAAATATTATTTAGAGGTAAATTTAGTTAACATTGACAAATGAAGTACATCTCTTAAAACTGTTTTATTTTAGTGAAATTAAGTTTATTAAATTAAGGTATAAAAATAAATTGTTGAAAATATCTCTAGCTGATCACAAATACTGTATTGCCATACGCCGTATGCGCGCAATCAGCCCAAGAAATTTACAACAATTTATTTTTATGCTCTAATTTACAAGTTAAACCTAATTTCACCAAAATCGACTATATGCAAAGAATGTACTTTACACTTGAGTGAAAAAATTTGTGTATTTTTGTTATTCTGATCGTGTTGATGTGTGTAGAGTCTGGCCACGAGATGTATATTTAAAAATAACATGTCAATGGTCAACGTGTCCTAGATTTTGCGTTTTTATAAACATTTATACAGAGCTTATAGCTTTATATTAATTTAATGATTGATACGTATTCTACATGTGAATCATCATTGTGCATGCATTGAGGCCTATGCCATTGAATGGAAATGTGGCTACATTTTGCATGTCAGTGGTCATTGTTACTATTTCATTATTAAATATCCATCTCGTGGCCACAATTTATACACATATACCAACCAAACAGGATCATGATACACACATACACAAAAGATGATGCCCATTCGTGTAATAGCGGGCACTTTGGATTGTTTGTTATAAAATAAAAGTACATTCAAAGGGTAGTCGAGTGATATACTTCATACTATACTTACCTTTTCTAACTGAACAACTTGAACCCCCCTCTAACTTTTGAACAGATTATCCAATTTTGATGCAGACTTCACCAAATTGTCGGGTATATAACCCGATTCAATAATCCGAAGAGATAATTAAAATCAAATAAGTATTTATTGAATTATTCAATAAAATCAAAATGTCATGGTTTGCATACAATTACATTAAAATTAATCATTTGTTGGCCCTCCACGTCAATTTTTATATTCAATATATTAACAACAAAAATGTCAAATATATTGATTTTTATTGAATAATTCAATAAATACTTATTTGATTTTAATTTTCTCCTCGGATTATTGAATCGGATTATATACCCGACAATTTGGTGAAGTCTGCATCAAAATTGGATAATCTGTTCAAAAGTTAGAGGGGGGTTCAAGTTGTTCAGTTAGAAAAGGTAAGTATAGTATGTCCAGATACTTTTGAGTCTGGCCGTAGTGACAAGTTTTATCGGTAAAATTTTGAAAATCAAATCTTTACGTTTTTTGTATAATGAATAACGTGATTACTTAACATCATTTATATCAATTTCAAGTATGCTTAAAATTAATTAATTTTTTTAAAATTTACAATTAATTTCGTAAATTTAAAAAAAAATTTATACAAAATTTTAAGCATTTTACCCATTAACATTAAACTTCATCTTTTACTAAATATAAATAACTCACACACAGCGATGCTATAATTAACCACAATTCGGGTAGTGTTTTAAAAATAGATTAACACTATCTACATATTTATTATGAATATATACGAGTAGCATTAGTACTTATGAAAAACATAGGCTCAGCATTACCTATGTTATCTTTATGTCATAGACTTAGCACTACCCATATTATCCCTATACTATAGACCAAGCATTACTCATGTTAAAGTATAGCCATATATTTATTTTGTAATCCCATGTTAATTCCCCCATATACTTAAGAATCCAATGTTAAAGTATAGCCATAGACCCATATTAACCCATGTAAACCATAGAGCGGGGGTTGGATGAGGGGGCAGAACGATCCTATAAACAACATTATTCATAATGAATTATAGTTAAAAATTAATTAAATAAATATTCAAATAAAATATTTTAGACCAAAGCGAAGAAGAAAGATCGCGAGCTCTCAAAGAAGTCCATATATTATCAAAATGTAACTCATATTTTGTGGTTAAATATTACCACTCGTGGATTGAGATCAATCGACTTTACATTCAAATGGAGTTCTGTCCGCAAAGTCTTCGGGAACTCCTCAGCGACAAAGACACTCTTTTTAACAGACAAACCGCACAATCCTTTAATATCTACGAATATTTTATATCATGTGAGATTTTTAAGGAACTTTTGCAATGTTTGGAATACCTTCATGGACTGCACCCACCAATTATTCATCGGGATATAAAACCGGCGAATATTTTAATTTTACAAAACACTAGTAATAATTCATTTGTGAAATTGGGTGACTTTGGTTTGGCCACCGAAAACAACCGGGCACTCATGAGTCATACCCGGGGACCGGGAACTCCTGATTTCATAGCACCTGAAGTTGTTATCAATAATACGTATGACTTTAAAGCTGACATCTTTGGTCTCGGAGTGATTGGATTTAAATTGTTTGAAATAAACACCGTGTATGTATTTTTGGAAATGCACAAAGTATCAATGTTATGTAATAATTTTATTTATATTTTACTTTTAGTGGCAATGCTCTGGACAAATACAAATCGACCTCATTTAGTGTCGAATTTAATAATATACATGATATCGTATATTCAATGGTTGAATTTAAAGTAGACAACCGGCCGACCAGTGCTAAAATACTACAGGAGTATAGCAACTGGTCTATTGATAAAAATATAATTACCAAAAATATTACCGAATTTAATGAAACACTCGATAAACTTAAGTCTAATAAAAATTCATTTTTCTATGAGTTTTTATTAAATAAAACGAATACAAATTCAAGTGATGGTAAATATTACAAGCATTTCACAGAAATTTCAAATATTAGTTTTGGAAAAATATTTAAAGTGAGGCATAGATTAGATGATAATATATATGCCGTTAAAAGAGTTCAATATGAAGGTAAATATTTTTAGCTTTTATTTTATATAATATAGATGTTATTCTGGGATAATATGTGTATCCATTGTCGGCAATGTTTGTGTGGAAATAGGGTTACAATAATTAGTTTATGGGTCAAAAGTAAGGTGAATTGGTTTCACAAATAAGTAAAATAAATATTCAAATGAAAATAATAATTAAATTATTAGAATTATTGAATTTTACATTTAAATAAATTTTAAATAAATATTTAATAACCTATTTTTAGATTTATTGGAAGAAATGCAACAAAATGTGTTACAAGAAGTGAAAATATTGTCAAAACTGAATTCAAAATTTGTTGTAAAATTTTACAACTCGTGGATCGAATCGAGTTATTTGTACATTCAAATGGAGTATTGCTCACAAAGTCTCAAACAAATACTTAAAGACAAAGCAATTGTATTCGCGACACAACCCGAGGAACCGATTAATAGTGTCTTTGATTATTATATTTCATGTGAGATATTCAAAGAGATTTTAGAGTGCGTCCAATATTTACACGAATGCAAACCACCGATCATTCATCGGGATATCAAACCCGACAATATATTACTTACATATGACTCTACAAACAATCGGTTCATAAAACTATGTGATTTTGGTTTGGCTACCAATCAATCCGAACCCTCAATCAGAGACAACCACTCAATTGTGGGCACAATTAGATATATTGCACCGGAAGTATACAGCGGTAGATATAACCATAAATCTGACATTTATAGTCTTAATGTTGTCGGCAAACAGCTATTTCATCTGGATTTAAAGTAAGTAGTATAGTGGATATATTTATTAAAAATTTATTAGAATAACATATACAAATAAAATATAATTTAATATTTATTAATGCAGCGAAACATTGGAATCACATGAATCATTGTTCAAAGCACCTATACGATTTATATGGTTTACACTTATGAAAATGATGAGAGCGCCGGAATGGGACCGCAGGCCTGAGTGTAGGCAAGTGTTGGCCAACTATATTGACTGGTCTATTGATAAAACGGATATCAGTAGTCATAAAGATTTCAATGAAATATTAAATTTACTGAAATCTCGTGAAAACTCTTTTTTCTATCAATTTTTATTGAGTAAAACAAAATCTCTTTAAATATACTATTGGAAGTCAAACATTTTTGGTATACCTCTACATTTCGCAGTACACATCACATATAGAAACCATGTTTTGCTTTAAATATGGGAGTGCTATGGGAGAGGGATATTCACAGTACAGACTACATATATTTACAATGATATATTGATATATAATTTGCACACTAAAAGCTAAAGTAAAGAGTTTTGTTTCTATACACTACTTTGTATAATGGATAGAACGGCAGTCTTTGAACTGAATTGCCCAGGATCGAAACTCACGAGCAACTTTACTTTATTTGTTTTTTAATTTAAGTTTTGGTTTTAATAGAGAAAAAGAAAGAAAGAAAGAGAGAGAGAGAGAGAGAGAGAGAG